ATTATGGCACCTCGTTTCAAAGGTCTCAGTCAGGACGAAATTAATAAGTTGATTTAGAATAAAAGATTTAGAAGGGGAAACTTTTGGTGACACAGATTCGCACTGTTCAAATATAGAAGAAATACGTGTTAATCAATCTTTTAATGAGGATAAAGTAGCCGACGACTTCAAAAGCAACGCTAATAATTTATTTGAATGGAGACAACCAAATGAGCATGACAAAGCTAACATATTGACCTTTGTTTCCTGGTATAAAGACTGAATTTTTGGAAACTCATTTTGCTGTTCATTTTTTTTAATTTTCAGATGAATTGTTTAAAACCAGAGAAACTAATTGATATGCTTCTCAGTCTTAGAGTTGTGGCCAAATATAAGCAGAAAAAGAAAGCATTTTGTTTTGAAAATATTCCTGGCTAATCATTTTAATCACTAATAGAAATATAAAAAACATATTTCCTACACTGTAAATGTCAACACCCTGTATGTCCTTATTATTTTGAAAGTACGAAATATTAATCTTTTAAAAATAAATTAGAAAATTTATTATGTAGAACATGTATATCCATTTCATTAAAATCAAGGAAAAATCAAACTTATAATGATGGTTTTGAACGAAATCAGCCTATGAAACAAAATTTATGTAGAATTCTTTGTAAACATTTAAAACTGTTCTAAAAAATATTTTTGATAAATTTATATTTTCTAAAATTTTAAATCATAGATTAAATTTTCATCAGCAAATATTAAAAAGAAGCCTCAAAGTGTTCTCTCTCTCTACGGACATCACAGAAATGCAAAGATTTAAGAAATTACCTTATCAGACTTCACTTCACACTGCAGGTATAAAATGAATTGAATATATGGGTATTTGGAGAATTTTTCCCCTCCTAACGAATGCAATATCCGATTTTATAAAGAAAATTCTCTCTACAGATATACCTTTTTTGCCCCAATAGTCTAAAGTAATATTTGTTAAAGTTAAATTATCAAATAACTAATATATCTCCGATTTTCTTTTTTATATTACAATAAAAAAGAAAGAAAAAAGAAACAGATTTAAAGCTTTATTATTGTTTTGTGTTTATTTTAAAATCTAACAGTAATGAATCATATTCTAATCATCTAATAGTAATGAATATTACAGTCAAAAGTCGTTAAATCCGGACTCGTCGGGACTTTTGGCGATCCGGATTATTGATTTTTCCGGATATAAATCGTTTAAATCTGGTAAGATGGCATGCAGAAATTATAAAATTAAAATATGAAACCATAATTTATGAAATGAAAGAAAAAATTATGATCTAAAGGGTATCAAAATTTACAAAAAGAAAAAGCTTAATATTTATTTGTTTACTTTATTAAACATTTCTTTCAATGGAAGTTGTTTAAGTTGCTTCGTTTCATGGGATAATACTTTCTAAATTCTATTAAACAGACATAATTTCTTCTTTAGTTACAAAGTTCCGCTATTCAAGTCCTATAATTGCTGTGTCAAGAATACCGAATAATTTGTCAATAGAAATTTTTTCGTTTTCAATAACCTCTGTGTCACTTTCTTCACTATCGGAAGCGAATTATAATGATGAGGAACTTGATTTAAATCATATCAAAGACGGACTACTTTGAGATGAAATACTACATTTAGTAAGGAATTATAAGCCAAATAAAATAAAAACATCTGCCCTGAAGATAAGAATAGTGCTGACAGATCAACTTCCAATTCATTGTGCGCCGCGTCGTTTCCCTCCCACCTAGAGCAGCGTGAAATTGGTAAACATATTTTGGAATGGTTAGATAATCAAAGGATATGCCTTTATCCATTTTTTGCAGCAATTCCACTTTCTGTTTAATGGACTTCGAAACATACTTTTGCTTTGTAGATCCTTTACATATTAGTAAATGTATATTGGAAATTCTATTTGATATAATCGAAAGTTCAAGCTTACTTTTATAAAATTGCTCTAACAGTCTGCAAAAAATAATAAGCCGGATCCAATTCGAAGATTAAGGAACAACGCAATCTGCAATATTAACTGAATTAGATAATTTTAGCTTAGCTTATACCGTCCTTTATACATTGAACGTGCATGCGTAAACGTATTATGCGCATGCGCACACGGCATATTCGAAGCCGTAAAGGTCTTCCGCGCACGCGTAGACGCATGCGCAGAAAGTTTGTAGCTTTGAGGTACGGATTATAGATCATTCCGAATTATGGGTGTCTGAATTAAGGACTTTTGACTGTATTATGAATTCCTTATCATTATTTCATTAAATTATTTATTACTCTTATTTTATTAATGAAAATAGATTATCAAATATTGCATTCCAACCTACAGGCACATAAAGCTACTTACTTCATATTTGTTATATTTTGCCAAGTTCTATTCTTGTTTCTTTATTTCTGGTAGAAAAAAAGACAGAAAATTCACAAATTATTACCGAGATTGATCAGAAATAGTAAATGGTATAGAGTTTAAATTAAATCAAAATAAACTTTGAAAAAGTCGCAAATATAGTACCTATTCTATATACCTATTCTAGACTATTGTCCAGAGTCTGACAAACATGTAAATTTTACTTCATCGATGGAGGGGACAAATGACCAGCTTAACGAATTTTCTCATTAGGGAACAGTAAAGGATGGGGGAAAAGTGTTTTGGATCGTGCCGTCCTAAAGTTATATTATGAGAATTTAACCCCCCTTTAATATTGATTATTGTTAATATTGATTCTGTGGTGAATATATGAAATTCAAGAACTATAGCATTGTATAAGCAGTAGGTTATTTTGATCACTTTAATAGAAATTAATAATTTACCTATTTTAACCAATGGTCTATGCATAATTGCTTTGCCACAAAATTCTCTCATACTTTCTGGCTCTGTATGGATCAACAATAGTACACTGATTCATATCAAGATACTGACAAAATGTATTGGAATTTAAAACTAAACACCATGCATGAACGAAACAAATTGCCCTTAAAAAACTCACTTTCATTCCTTCAAACCATTTTCAGAATGTTATCCTTTCCCCCCTCCTCCTCGGCACATCGTATCTTTTCCATTTTGCCAGAAAGTTTCATTTTGTGGTTTTTCAGACTTTCTTTTATAGTGATAATTCTTTGCTCTTGCAAAAATTATATTCATGATATTTCATCATTAAATAAGTCCCAAATTTGAACATTTAAAATAAAAATTCCAGTTAAATTAATTTCACAGAATATTACTGTTTTAAAGCAAAATGATGATTTCATACAAACCTCTTGTCAAGTTTAGCGAAATATTTGGCAACTGGTCTGGTCCCGATAACCAAAAATCTAATGCGGACACCACATGAGTTCTTTGTATGGAATATTAAATAATATACATTTTTTGCTGCAATTTCAGTTAAACTTATTTCTTTGAATTTCATTAGAGATAGATTTCTCATTCAATTAATTCAGTTCTCACTTCGCGGCAAGTCAAAAATACATAAAACCTCAAAATATCTTCATTAAAAATTTTAAAATGTAGAAAAACGTAAAACACCAAATACAGTTAAAGCAAATATTTTTTTCACAATTAAAATTACAGTAAAAAGCATTTTGTTTCTTAACAGTGGTAGAATTTATTTTGTTGGTAAATCACCTCTCAGAATTCAGGATTGATAGAAATGTGCAGGTGTCTCAGAAAATGTTCTCTCTGAATCCTCAGAAGTTAGAAATATAGATATGTCACAAAAGCAATGAAACCTGATATACAATCTGATGTGATCTGAAGGAAGCATTGAATGCAAACTTACATTATTGCCAAAACTTACTGACGGAAGACTGTAGTTACCAGTTGGAGTATGGAAAGCTGATGCTTGTTTAGTACAAAAACTGGTTTGATCTTTTCAGCTGTATCAGATGAAAAGCAGCAGACAGATAAAGTTGTGTTTTGTGCTGGAGGGTTGTTAACTGATACAATTAGCATGAGCAAATTAAGCAGGAATTTTCAAATTATCTCTGGAGTATTTTTGGAAGTCTGTTGCAAATATCTGCAACTGCTTTTGAAAACTAATAGCTATCATTTTGAGAAACAAAATGCCTTTTATTTTGAAATTGATTAAGATTTTATAAAATTATAAAAGATTTTTCAGTAGGAAGTGCTTTCTTGTCTACCATGTACTAGTAGTACCAACAGAAGAGGGAATATGTTAGGATGAACCAAAAAGTAAAGAAACGGTTGCATCCTTTTTGGGGGAAAATTAGTGCATAAAAATATTTATAAAAGTGAAATTGAGAAATCTGAAGCATCACTAAAATATTTAATAGGAAGAGGGGGAAAAAAACCCAGTTAATTAATAATTTAATATTAGTTAAAATATAACCCTGTATTGGCAAAGATTTTTTTTTTTTTTTTTTTTTTTTTTTTTTTTTTTAAAGAAAAAGACTAAGTTTCTGAAGTGGTATAACACTGATCTCTATTCTTCAAAAGTCCTTTAAAAATATCATAAAACCTAAAATTTTAATTTCTTTCTTTTTTTAATCTACAAGAGAGAAATTTGGAAAGATTTTTAAATTAGAAAGGGATTGTTTTAATGGTGTGTTTGATACTGAATTCACAATTTATACAAATTAGAGGTAATTTAGAAAACAAGAGATTATATTTATTGAAATACCGTATTTGACGGCATATAAGACACACCCTTATTTAGACGGCCACACACAAGGGAAAAAAGTTTCAATAGCGTGGTTTCTTTTAGTTCTCACATTTCGTAAAAGCCAAATAAACAATAATTGAATGCAATTACCTTCACGTATAAGACTGTGTGCTTCACGTATAAGATGCAGGTAACTTTTTTTTAGACCAAATTTAGGAAAAAAAGTGTGTCTTATATGCCGTCAAATATGGTATATTATTTTTCTAAGTTGAAGAAGAGTGTTAATTTTCTAAGCAGGCATTATAGTTTTTTTGCATGTAAAAATAAATTTAGCCATTTGTGTGTATTTATCTGGTGCTTTAAATTTGCAGGCAAAACGAAAATCGAAATCCTAATGTCCAGACTGTAATTGTGATTGGTGCAGTGTATTCGAAAAGTTGGTGCACATATCCTTTTATTTGTTTGGCCATTGTCTGTGTTTTATTATTTTAATAATTAAATTATTATTTAAATAACACTTCATATAATGTATAACTTGCAAAATATTAGAAGATTTGTATCTAAAAATTAATACTGATCCTTTAAGGAATAATTTGAAAAATGAATACCAATTCTTTAAGTTCCCTGTAGTATGAATTCTCAAAAACTATTAATTCATTCATTCTGTTATCATGTTTGAAAAATAGCCCCCAATGTTGCCCTGAAGTCATAATAAAATTGACTGACTATTTTATCCTCACTCAGATTTGCAAAACTTTTGACAGTCCGAGTTGCTTATCATGCCCTGCATTAATTCTCTTCCTCTTTTCTCCCATTATGTCCTAGAATTTACTTTCTGTGTTTGTTTGTTAGTTGATGTTTTCCTTCATTTTGTTTCACTTTCCACTTTTATGTATTTCCTTTAGAAGATTGTTTTGCAGCGATCTCACTTACTGTGCATGTGAATTTTTTCCAGCTGTCTTCAAAATTTTTAGTCATTTTTACTAAAAATCTTGCTGTACTGTGCTAAATTAATGACACAGTAGAAATGTAATGCATACTGTTTGTTTTTAATAAAAAGATTTTTACAAGAATATGTGTTAATTGTCATAGATTCTGTTGTGTGTTATATATTCACACTAAACGATACAAAATTTAAAAAGAGAATACATTAACATACTAAAGAACTTATTAAACTTATTAAGTAATAAACTCAGTCGCTTATTACATCTAAATTTCCAAGAACCAAAACAAATACATACTAATTGGTGGAAAAGCCAGAAGACCCTACTTAAACTACCTATCAAAGCTTTTTGTGCTCCATTCATTTAACATTATGTGCACTATAGCTTTTTAATTCAGGTGTGTGATACTATAATAAATTGTTGACTGAGAATTCCTTATCCCTGTACCTGTGAGACACTGTTTACATAGCATTCATCCACATTGGAACTTCGATGAGCAGAATTTCGTTATCTTAAATTTAATGAAAACAATCTTGTTGAGGTATTAAAAGTATTAAAGGCATAAATGAGTGAATGTTTCTTCTTGAATATCATCTGATAGGTGGTGCAAGTGCAACTTCTGCATTTCATTTTTTAAGGTTTCTGTGTTTAAAATCTTCCCTTTGGTATAGACGTATTATGTTCACAGTTATTAAAAAAGTTCATGAAATGCCTCTGAGCATTACCAGTCTTTGAATAGAAAGGAAATGGTAACTGTAGACTGAAGGAAAAGCAAGGAAATCATTTTTCATGCTTGTAATCATAAAGAGGCAAATCGACAAAATGGACAAAGGGTAATTTTTCTGCTGGTTGGAAATGTAACTTTTGAAATTTAAATAAAAATTTCAAAAGAAAAAGAATGGAAGAAACATTTTTTTAAATTTTGTTGTGTGCTGATTTTAATGAAAACCAAAAAGACTTAAAGTAAAGGATAAAGTGTTAAAAGATTTTGATGTTCTTGGTAACTGGAGCTAGAGGAAAACTATGCTTTAACTCAAAATTTCCCAATCAGCATTGAGCAGTCTACTTAAAGCAAGGAATGGTAATTAATGAAAACTAATAAAAAATATAAATATCTCAAGGAAGCACAGAAAGGAAAATAAATAAAGTTGAAATTACGTTGCTAGAAGGGTTTTAAGCTGTGAAATCGAGAAGTGTTTCTATTTCTTGATTTTTTTTACTTCCTTGTACAAAGTAAAAAGGAAGCGAAAAGTTTCGGGCAGCATATTTCAACAAAAATATCCATTTTGACCGCTAATGAATGCAATTTAACGATGTTTTTGCGTGATATCTGTACGTAAGGACAGAATAAAATACCCTTTTCATTAAAAAAAATTATAAAACTGCTTTAAAATTAATTCTGAAGAGAATTTTTCGTGGTGTTTGTACGAACATATGTACGTACGTATCTCGCATAACTCTAAAACGAGTAGCCTCAGGACATTGAAATTTTGTATATAGGACTGCTATAACATGTAGATGTGCACCTCGTATTTTGGTTGCAATCGGCTGCACCAAACGTATATAAATATATTTATATATATCCACTCTATTACCCGGCTCAGTGATCTCAGTTTCTTTACTCTTATATGTTTGTAAATTGTACATTTTTTGCTTTAAAAATGATTGTATATGTTGTCATTCCCTTCTTTCCATCAATTAGCTATAAAAAGTTGCACGTATTTTGCAGGAAATTGAACTTTCAGGTTGTTAAATCATCTCCTATCAATAAAATTTCTGAAGTTCCATCAAGGACCCCATTCCGGATATGAATTTCTAGGGTATTTATAGGCATTCCTTGCCAGTGTGGTTTAATTTACATTGGTGAAACTAAGCATTAAAGATTTCGCGTTAAGGAAAACGTGAGGCATATTTTAGAAAAAAAGGAATTACAGAAGTCCTCCGTTGCCAACAACATTGTTGGTCCGGAAAATCACACTTTCAATTTTTCTGCTGCCAAAATTATTCAAAAAACATCTTCCATTGGAGAACTGATTTTCTAGAGCATTTCACATTTATAAAAATCTTTCTGTTCTAGTTAACGATCCTAATTCCAATCCAAATTTGCCTTCGTCCTTTAAAGAAATTATGTTTTAGTTCTGGTTTCACCATCAGATGGCACTACTTGCTTATTCTTGTCCAAGCTTTCTTATCTTATCTAATCATTATTTCCTATCTTTTTCATTTGCGGTTTTGCAGCTGAGGATGGTGGTTCGGTAAAACCATCGAAACTAGTCCTGTGAAAATTTTGTAAATATAATGCTGATTTTTGTTGTTTGAATTCTGAAATATGATTGTATTATGTTGTTTTTATCTTCCGGTTAAGGTTTTTATGCCTTTAGTAAATCTGTATGCAATATTTTTAGAATTATCAACAATTTTAAAGTTGTCTAAGTGCCGCTAAGCGTTTTTTTAATGGCGGCCATTGATGTTTACATTTGAAACAGGAGACTATTGGATTTGTTGCCAATCTAGAGAAACTTAGCTTCGTAACAACAAAGATAACGCATTCATTTATTATTGCCAATTAAATCATGCTTAATTCTTTCTGGAATTTTTTTCGAGGAAATAAGTGTTTAAGATTTACTTCGTAATTTTTAATATAGATATTTTGAGTTTTTATGTATTTTTGCCTTCTTTGCGAAGTGAGAACTGAATTAATTAATTGAGAATACTCAATCGTCTGTGAAAAACTGTTTTTTTCTTTTTTTTTTTGTTTTGTTTGCTTAATTTCTTTCATACATCATTCTAGCTTTATTATAGTATTTGAATAGAACATGTGGCAACGATTGATAATTCTATTTCTTTAAATGATATAAATTTTGTGCATTATGAGTTATAATATGAATGAAATATATAAGTTAACTGTTATATAACTATTGGGATATAACAGTTAACTTAGTTTTTCCATTATATAATTATATAAGTTAACTGTTATATAATTATTAATACTGTTAAGTGAATCTAGCGCCAGAGTGCCGCTATGGTAAACAAATACTAGAGTAAATTTTAAAGAATTCATTTATTCTATTGTGGTTTATGCGCTGTCGGCGAAGTAGATTTAATTCAATCCAATAAGTTTAAATGAAATAAGAAAAAATGCATATAATTTAATATTCCGTACAAGGAAGTCATATGGTGTACACATCAGAATTTTTTTTTCACTAAATGCTAAGAGAGAATTTTGTATCAACTGGCAGATGGGTTCACAAGTTGGAGAAAGAGAAATTCAACATCATTCATTAGAAACTGCAAGGTACGAAGTACAAGACAGTCATGGGGCTGATAACTAAATAAAAGGCATTTTACTTGGGCTGCTTAATGAATGCAGGCCACACAAAATTTATAATGCAGATGAAACTGAACTGCGTTACAGAACACGTTAATATTTAAAAGTAAAACAACAGCTAAGTTAAGAAACTGAAGGAAAGAGTTACTGTGTTATTAACATGCAGTAGGAATCCAACAATTAAAAAGGCAGCACTGGTTATTGACAAAAGCAAAAAACCTCAAGCTTCGAAACAAGTCAAGAATTTACTTTTAACTTTAGAATAACAACAAGAACTCTAAAGAAAAAAAAGTACTTTTGCTGTTTTCCTTTTCAAATGGGAATACTTATTAGGTAATTGTGTAGATTGATGAACAGTAAAAACAGGACATATACGATGAGTAGTAAATGTGTCATTCAAAGAATATATATAGTTATGTATAGTATATACTATGTATATAGTGATAGTTTATAGTATATACGTAGACGTTCTTTGGGTCATTTTTGGTGTTGGCAATAATTTTCAGAATCGCGCCAAGGCTGCACCGTATTCTAGGATTTTACCTTTATTTTAAAAACCAAAAATTAAAGAAACACTTGAAGAAATATATTCTCTTATTACAAATTGTATATATGAGTGTGTATAATAATGGGAAAAATTTCTCGCTGAAGTGAGGAAAACGGAACCATTTTAGGATGTGCTGCCATCTATCGAACGTTTGTGTAATTAATAGTTTGAATGAATTTATTCATTTAAGGTACATCAACAATTCAATAAATTCTTTCAAACGCATTTACTAACTATAAAAACTGGCTGCACATCTTACAAAATGTTTCTTTCTTCTCATTTCGGTAAGATCTTCTGAAATGGAGCATTGTTCTAGAAATGTGGAAAAATTTAAATAAAATCGGAGTCAAATGTTTCTTTATAAAATAATTATTAGGTTTCTTTAGAAGAAGTGATGATTTTAATGTCTTTAAATATAAAATTTTATAGCGATGATTAGCATGTAACTTTTTAATATAATGTTGTTTCAGTTTTTCTTTAATGATATTAAATAATGATCAGTTCGATATTTATCAACAAATTGATACATTGCATTTAGCAATATGTTGTGTTGCAGCCTTTCGTAATCACTAAATTGTAATTTTACAAAATAGTGTTCTTCAGCTTTTAATGAATTGACCCACTTTTAAAACAAATTTATAATTTCAGTTTTTTACCCGTCGTCTTCTCGCCTTTTTTTTTAAATAATTATTCTTCAGAAGTAGAAAGATGATTCCCCCCCCAAAAAAATGTAAAAATTTATTGTTTTATTTATTATTATTATTTTTTTTTCAATATTATTATTATTTACTTTTTTCCTCGAATGCTCGTTGAAAATAGCTTTGTCAAAACAATTTTTTCCACGCCTTTGACAAGAACAGAGTAGAAGTTATATTATTTATGAGTTTGTTTTCAGATAAAAATTTAGAAGCTACTGAGCAATACAGATTAGAGGTAAATTAGAGTGAGTAGCAGTTTTAGCTTCGAAAATTGAAAGTTGTGATTTTTATCCCAACATTTTGGTGCTACGGCAGACTATCCTGCTGTTTAACATTTCAAAAACGCTCATTTATATCCCCATGTAAACAAGGATCAGCTTTAACTTTGAAAAATCAGAAAACTAAAAATTCAGAAAATTAACCTTACAAATATTATGACTTTATAGGGTTTTTATTATTTTAAGGTTGCCATAAACTTTTCTAGTTTTGACCATATTTTCAAATGTCATGAAATTTGTCTAAAGCGCTTATGGTGGCCGTTTTCTTTAAAATTCCATC